TGATTGACAACATATTTCATTGATTGGGTTGTACACCTTTAGGTCACAGCACTTGGACACCTTTTCACTCAGACCCTGAGTAACACTGGCTGTTAAAACAAGACACAATCACTAGAACCACTGTCTAAAATCAGTACCAGAAAGTCCACAAGTTTAAAGAGAACAAAAAAGTTCAGTCTAGTGTGGTATTTTCATTTTTAGTTGAGCAGCACTGAGTCACTGGAAACCTAGAACAAAATATGAGCTGGATGAGCTTTAATGTCCACTCAAAAAAAAAACTGGGAAAAATTATAAAAATGGATAGGCATATCCAATTTTGACCTCCGGACTTCGAGGCCATAATCAGCACAAATGTTTCTGTATACTATGCCGGCCACTTGGTTATGGCATTCCACGTACGACCTGCCTGCTAGCATCTTGCACCCTGTTGTTATGTGCTGATGGCTCAGAGGCATCTTTGCATAGTCTGCAAGTCTGCACCTGGGGTCTTACCTGGTGTGGTAGATCCCAACCTACCAGGTTGGGGTTCCAAGATGCTAGCAGGAAGGGCTAGCATCTTGGAATGCCATAACCAGCTGACTAGCATAGTATACATATACAGGGACATGCAGAGATAAATGTAGCTATAACAAATGTTGACAACATCAGGAAGAAACATGAGAAACTTGAGAAATACCAAGAGCTGAAAGAGGAGAGAGGACATGGAACCAAAACCCAGTTTATATGTTCTCTGGAGAACATTAAAGTTCCACACAGAAAGGCCCTAGCCAGATGTTGGATGTTGGACCTTCTTACTCTTAGACAACAGTGCTAAACACTGTGCTATTGTGCTTCCTTTCAGTCTAAATTGGTACAATTCAACTCCAGTTTTAGTTATGTAGCTAGTTCATAAATTATTACCTGTGATGTTGTGTTTACAACAAGTGGCTGTTTCAGGATTGTAAGGCTCATTTCCACAACAAGACAAACTTCCACCTGGGTGAAGTCTGTTTCCACAGCAAGTAGCCTCTTGGATGTCATACACTGTTCCATCACAGTCTTTTCTGAAAAGCGAAGATAACCAAACCCAGGATATCAACACTGACAGTCATTTTCACAGACATAAAAGTACATATATATATTAACTATAATCATCACATCATCTGAACAGTCAAATCTGTACAGATTTCCTCATTTTTGCTTTATTATACTGCCCTCTGATGGAAAACATGTTAACGTCTACATACAACTAGACCATCGGTGTGCAAATAGATGCACTGCTTAGCTACAATATGACTGAAGGGATCACGTTTTAACATCTCCCTGTCTGTGATTGGCTGGTTTTGTGGCACAAATATAACGGTGTACAGAAAGAGTTGAAAGCGCACGGGCAGAAATGTTGAGAGCGCAAGCAGCACATTGCGAGCAAGCGCAAATGCAAAAACTCAGCGAGAGGGGCTGCTATTGTGTGTGTGTGTATGGATAATATCAGACAGTAAAATACATTTTTTGCACGCAGCAATGAATTTTGTTCACTCAAATTTAGCTTTTCTTGGCTCAAATAAAATTCTTTTTAATTTCTCCTCAAAATGCAAGCTTGCAGAATTTGCAGGTGCAAGTCTAGACTTGCTCTTTACATGCGCTCACTTTTTTTTTTAACGTGAGCTCAGAATAGTGGCACAAAAATAACGCTAGAGAATCTCTCCCTCTCTCTCTCACACACACACACACACACACAAAGGTTTACCTAGCATTTCATCATGTCTCTGGTGTTTTCGTGTTTGTTGTTGTTTTTGGGGTTTTTTTTAAATTTTGTTTTATTTTGCGAGTTGGTTATCAGATGCTGCTCCAGCCAGCCAGAGAATCCACCGCTGCCCCGTCCTCTCCTCCCTGTGCCGCAAGCAGCGGGCGCACCTCGCCCTTACCCCTAGCAAATGAGCGTCAGAAAGCCGATCGGTGCTGGCATGATGTCGGGGCAGCTAATTTATTTTATTTATTTATTTATTTTTGCCGATGCCCGCCACCCACCCGGCATCGTGGTGGCAACCGCCCGTGTCAAAAACCGCTACTAATTAGACCAGGGGTCGGCAACCTGCGGCTCCGCGTGGTTTGGGAAAATAAATTAGAAGTATTTAGCTGAAGTGTATTTTATTTATATTAGTTATTTTTTTAACTTGTAGTTCTAAATTATAAGATTGTGATATTGAAATATAAAAATAAAATTATATTCTATTATTTTTTGATCGCTCAAAATAAGCGTCACACTCGCGGAAGCCGGTATACCCGCCGAAACGCCGTGCATTTATCGAGACTTTCAACCCCAAGTAGGCCAATTATGGATCTTCGGATCCACATTATGTCAGCAGCTATTCTCCACCGTGAACTATGTTAAAATCAAACACCGCTCACCCCTCACATATAACAGCTTACAGTCCTGCGTAAAGATGAAAGTGACTTCGTACAGCCCTGATTTGCAGATGCTGTGTGCAGAGGTTCAGGAGCAGAAGTCCCATTATAAAGATATCACGGCAGACCCGACGATGTTTCTTTATAGGCCACTTTTCACACACGGTTGCTGTACGTATACAGCCGGCTGTCGCTTTTCTGCTCACAGCCCGACACATAACAACACAACAGCATAGATAGCACAGACTTTAAGGCGGCGACGCGTGATTGCGGGTGCCGCTCAAGTGCGTTCGCCTCCCTTGCAGCGGCGCTGCAGACCACGCCCCGCCACACACATTAACCAGGTAAAATACATATTTAGGCAGAATTTTGCAAATATCTATTTTTCATTTTTTAGCAGCATAGTGCTTTTTTTCCCCAGTTATTTTTTAAAAGTCAGGTCAAGGCTCCAAAAGCACAAAGGCGATATGTGTGTGGCGGCTCACAACAGTTTTTGTTTGCTACATGGATCATTTTAGTTCAGCTGGGTGTCTTTCCTTTTGTTATATTTTTTTTAAGAGTTCAAAATACGTTAATTACATAAAGCAGCACACCTTAGTTGTTCACACAAAGCATAAAAGTAAAAAACAATATATACAGTGTTATCTTCATTTTAGATGTCAAAAAGTATTTGCGGCTCCCAGTGTTTTCTTTTCCGTGGAAACCGGGTCCAAATGGCTCTTTGGGTGTTAAAGGTTGCTGACCCCTGGACTAGACCATCGGTGTGCGTGTAGATGCACTGCTTAGCTACAATATGACTGAAGGGATCACGTTTTAACATCTCCCTGTACTCAAAAATATCACGATGTCAAGAGTTGACAAGTAGATTCTTAATAAATTATCTGCTTAGATTGGAAAGTGTCCTTTCACTTTGGAGGTCTTCGCACATAAGGTGAGGAAAGTCTGTCTCACCGGTAACAGTCGTTTCTAGAGGCTGCATCAGTATCTCCTGTGGGCTCTGTCAACAAGCACATATTTCAAGTAGTAGTTTAATCAATAAGAACTGAGTCCGTTTAGAAGAGAGAATCAGTTATTTTTCAACAACAAAATTGATGAGTGGACACGCAAGGCATGCAATAAATCTGGGGTCTAGCTGACGACAAAAGTGTTAAATTGTCCACTGAAAAAAATTAATTAATTTTCATCAAAAATAATAACAAATCTGGCAATGTGACATGTAGCATGCACATCAGCTTTTAGAAGAAAAATTCAACCCTACTTACCGCAAGCGAAAACCACCAAAGCTGAAAAATGAGCGAAAAATATTATTATTCAATTTTCTAAAATTGTGATTTAAATTATTCGAAATATATCCCACAATTGTAATAATAATAATAATAATAATAATAATAAAAAATTAAAAAAAAAAACCATACCAAATTGTAGAACCCCAAATAGGAGCATTTTGGACCACTTTAATTGAATCTGATTGCCCTGAAAGTGAAGCAGTGCAGACGGATGAGGCTATATATATCAGCCACACCCACCTGTCCGGTGCCAAGAAGGTGGAGTGCACACACGACTAATGTGCTTGCCTAAAAGTGACAACAACATTGGTTAAGACTTACAAAAACATTTGTCATGTGGAATGTAGACACCGATTTCCATTCAGATGCAACGTCAATAGAACTTAAGCTGGATCCGTAAATTCCAGCACTATTTTCATGCCTTGAATCGTTAGCTCCTACCGAGATGAAGATTATGAACAAGATTATGAACCTCGTCTTCCTTTTGTTATTGTTGGATTCAAAAGTAATGTAATTCTTATTTTTGGCGGAACGCTTTTGTATTTGTGAAAAGATCGTTATTCATGCAACTTGGTACATGTTTTGGTATACTGCAATATTTTTCTTTTTATATCTCAGGTGATACTTTATCTCCTGAGAACTACCCAAAGTCTTGACAAATGATGCATGAATTGCACCTGACGCCTATACGCAACCGTCTCGACAGAGTTGCTCAAGATAGACATAGATCACATGACGAAGGAGAAATTTGTGTTCCAGTTGCAGTTATGTGCGCTCTAGTATAGCCTACTTGGTCGTGTTCATGCTGACACACTTGCCTAAGAAGGTGCGTCATACGTCTTTACTCTAATAATGCAATTCATCACGAAACGCATTTAAGACAAAATACATTCAACATCTGTTTGGAGCAGTGAATCGGCTAAAAATAATCAAAACAAAACACCGAAGCAAAAATGCAAATACCAGGTTTACACGTTTGTCCTAAAAACACATTCCTTATTCTTTATTCACCGTTTGCTGTATATCTGTGTGTTTCCGTGTTTAAAACACCCTGGCTGATTGGCGGTTGGTGAGAGAGAACACCTGGATGTGGAAAGAAAGTGAACGTCACAAGCTTTATCTACACTGCCATCATTCCGGGAAATCGCTAGACAAGTCCTGCAGCATTGGAGAACTCTAATTTCTTGTTTGTTTTTTTGGGGGGATAAATAAACATATGACCCCTCTATGAGCAAGCACCTTTAAAGCATGTTGTCTGTGTGACACACTACTAAAAATATAGAAAAAGTACTTTGTTGAGACGTAATAGTTTAACAACAAAAATATAGATATTTTGTCATATGTCCATGTGCCCAAGGTACTAACTAGCTAGCTAACTGGATGCCCATTAACCTTATAACTCCAACTCCTGGTGTGTGTGTGTGTTTGTGTTGTGTGTGTGTGTGTGTGTGTGTGTGTGTGTGTGTGTACAGAGAGACAGCCAGGTTCATAATGGATATAAGGAAGTTTTTTTAAAAAGGAGCCACATTCAGGTGAAAGTGTAAGATCAAATGATCCGTCAATCAAGAATAATGTTGGATCAGTGTTTCAATATTTATAGCTTTTATTAGATATACCTGTGGCTTGGTTACTTGCGTTTTGGTTGAAAGTACACTGAGAGAGGACTTTTTATTAGTGATCTTAATAATATTTTTTGTATATTAATGTAATTTTTTCATCTAATTGAATACAATCTATTTGTGTATGACTGTCAGTCCAAAAAGGGAGAGAGGAAAGAGGGGAACGTGAGAAAGTACAAGGTCAGGAAGAACCAGGTAAGAAAACAGGCAGGAATAGTGACAGGCAAAACAGAAACTAGTCTAAGGCACTTGGAAAGAAAAGCATACAATCTGGAAGTTGTGTTCTCCCTATGTTAAAGCTGCTATACAGAATCTGCAAAACAAACTGGATTGAAATTTTTTTTTGACGCTCTTTAATAACATTCCAACATAACATTATCATTGGGGAGAATAAAATTAATGATATATTTTTTGGGGTTCAGCCACAACTCTACTAAAACCTCATTCAATAATAGGTAGGCCAAATTTTGGACCATCTAGTTGTCTGTATGTCTCCTGCAGTACATGCACCACATTTGTGCATTAGAAAGTGCCAAACAGTGCCCTGGTGGAGTGAGAGCTGTAAAGAGAAGCAGATGCTCTGTTTATATTCTACAAATGTTTTAAGCTAGCTTGTTTCAAAGATTCTGTTCCGCTTTAAATGTTTTCCAAAAGCACACATACCCTTACCTTTTCAATGTTTCTCAGAGATTTTACAGTGTGTACCACCTGGGAGAAAGCATGAAAAGTCATACATCTTGGGATACATCTTAGAACACTTACTCATACATCTTACAACACAAAATTCCAATCTGTTTCTAAAATGAAAAGTCACATAGGTTAAAATAAAATAAAAAATCTGCAGAGCCATAGTAGTATCTGCAGTAAAGATCTTTTCATACATTGTATACACTGGACTATAGACAAAGTTGCCTCCATTTTTGTTAAACACAGACACACACACACACACACACACACACACACACACAAACACACACACACACAAACACACACAGAAACACACAGACACACACACACATGAATTAGATAGATAGATATATATAATATATGATATAATACGATAGATATATAGATACGATAGATGAAGAAAATAGATGATAGATAGATAGATAGATAGATAGATAGATAGATAGATAGATAGTAATAATACATTTGTACCTTTCAAGGACTCTTCTGTTTTTGGAGTGTACTTTTTATGTATCTGTATTATATTATACTCTGGCCAAAAAATGCACTCATATGAGGGGCCGTACAAGCCAAAATTCATACTTTCACTCTCACACACATACATTCTTCTTTCACACACATATATTTTCACTCTCACACACATATATTTTCACTCTCACATACAATTTTCATCAATAATTTTCATCTCTACATATATTCACTCTCACAAATAATTCATCACACCATATCTTCTTCACTACTCTTCACTCTAAGTTTATTATTTTATTAGTTTTTATTCTTGACACATATTTAAACAACTTCATATCCTCTAAAGATTAATGCAATTTAATCATCAATGCATTTTAATGCATACATTGTCTCATTACTGTTATAGCATTTAATCTACAATAATATGTAAAAGATGCTATTCTGAAAAAATATATGTATGAGGAATATTGGGAAATATGAAACGAGAGTTAGGAAGTGTTCTGACGTTATTGGCTGAGACGCGGTACTTTAAGTGTCTGACATAGGAACTCGAGTTTTCACAGCTCGGGGTAAAATTTCATCTTGAAGTCAGTGTCTCGTACTTGACGATGGACGGCCAACTGCCGTGTACCAACAGTGAAATATGGACTTAACGCTAACGGGCTTAACGAGTCAGAGCTACAGGTCCTGGGTGGGCAGTACCTTTGGAATGATGTGAGTAAAACTTTCCATAACTATACAAGGAAAACATAGAAATGTCGATTAGCACATTTGTACCCTTTAATTAGCCCTGCTATTATCACAGATCCATTAGAAGCTGGCTTTATCATGTGTATTTATTTGGGGTAATTATCTAGAGCATCATCCACCGTGTTGTAATATACTGTCCGTAAGGTTACATGGATGCCATCATGCCTCACCAGTAAGTGAAATAAAAAGAATGGCGTTTTTGTCTACTCAATAAAGTAAAGCAAATTCTTTGATGCCTCTTTAGAGTAAAATTCATTTTAAGAGCAGTAAAAAACAGCTTCGTTTATACTATTTTCAAAGGCAATTAGTGCTATTACTTATGATTTTTAGACAGTAAAAATCGGTTACAATTTTTTTATTATTTTATATATTATTTTATTTATTTTTTATTACAAGTCATAATTAAGGCAAACCCACAATACGATTTCATTTTTCAAGTTATAACTCTACTATGCATTTTTTCAATTATCGTATTGTGTTTCTCCCTTTTGACGTTTAATATTAGTCTATGCTAGCTGTGATGTTTTTAAGCGGTAACTTATTTATACTAGCAAGTAAGGTCTGACACCATCTTATTCAGACTGATAGCTATATGTAGAACAACGATAATCGAATTGTTCTGTTGTATCCAAACCATTCTTCTCACAAGATGTCTCTTTCACGCATCAAGCAGTGTTGTTGTCAAGCATCGCACAAAACAACATTTACATGAACAAGGGCATATATTGAATGGATTTGAATTCCAAAAATCCTGGGACCAGAAAACTGTCTCTGAACAAATAAGGGACGCCTTTGGAGATAAACTTTCTATTGATGTAAGGTAGGTTGTGCTAGCAGTCGAAACCTAATGCGACACAGCTTTTGTCAGTAGTCTTTTCGATATCTAGGCATTTCAAAGCTTTACATAACGATTTAAGTCAGAGAACAGGTAGACATGAATCAGTAAACTAAACTAAAAGAACCAAATCAGTTATCCTTTCTTGAACACTCCATTTTTGGCATACTTTTTTGACATTTGTATAAAGTTTACTTCTGTTACTACTGGTTTAAGTCTGATTCAAAGAGGAAAACAAGATTAGCTCTAAAAAAGTTATTGGAACATTTTTGCTGTTTTGGATTTTAAACATTTTACAACTTAACTGTTTTCCAGCCTGGAGTTTCTGATGGCTTGTGGCAACAGACTGATTGCGCCCAAACTGCGAGCAGGACAGGAGCTGGATGCAAATCTCATACATAAAATTTATAAATCGAAAGCCCTATACATCAGACCATCAAAACCAATTTTGGTACGTTATTTGACTTTTGAATGAATCTACATAGCACTGTACAGTAATAATATGAAGACCAAAAATTGGTGCATAAACAACCTTTGAACTTTCTCATCTCTGTTCTTTTTAAACTTGCCTTTCACCTTTTTAGTTGGATAGAATAGTACCAAGTTAATGTTCCTTTTTTAAAATGTTAATCCTAAGCTCTGGTATTGACTAAATTTACAGCTGCTCTGTTGGACTGTTTGTGAATCATAGAACGTAAGACTACTGCTGTTCAGGAGATGTGTTACAATTTGGTCTGCCTAGTATGTAAAAGTAATTGTGTGAAAGATCTATTAACTCTTGAAATTTCTCACCCTATGGTAGCTGGGATAGGCTCCAACCACCCCACCTCTGATAAGAATAAGCAGAAGAGGTTGGATATATGGTATTTAATGTTCAAATTCAATATATGTGAATTATTATAATTATTATTTTATTTCTAAGGATGATATTACAAGCTACAGCAGTGAGGAAAACTGTGAAGAAAACCCTGTTTCATCAAGGCAGCTGCGCTCATCATCTTCAGACAGTTTTGCCAGTTCAACAGCTGCCTTCCAACCAATCTCTGCTCCTACACAATCTCCTGCCTCATCAGTTTGGTAATGGAACATTATTAACGGAGAACTCCTGCCTTGACCCATGAAAGTAGTATCTCACACAAGTACAGCAGCGCTTCAACAAACATTTCCTTCAGCCAGTTACCAGTGTCTTCATTGGAAATCTACCCTTCCACTAGTCAGCCTTCTACCTCATCTGCATCTTTAAGCGATCCAGTTCTGGTCCTGACGTGCCGAAATACCTCAAGCTCACCCTACCAGACCAGGAATCCAGAGAATCATTGTTCAGCATTACCCTCTACATCAACACACAGTCAATCTGTAAACTTTTAAAATTACTAACAACACTGCACCCAGCTACCTTAAGGACCTTTTAAACCCTTATGCTCCTGCTAGGGCTTTAAGGTCATCGTCACAGTTACTGCTGGCTCAGCCCAGATCTCGACTTAAGACTAGAGGTGATCGATCGTTTGCTCTTGTCGCACCTGTGCTGTGGAACAATCTCCCGATTGGCATCCGGGCATCTGATTCTATTCATTCTTTTAAATCACAGCTTAAAACATATCTTTTTAAACTTGCCTTCTCCACTTTTTAATTGCTGGTTTGCTTGTTTGTTTGTTTGGTTGCTGTGACCTATTGACCTCTTGTATTAATTCCCTCCTATCTTTCTATTGGTTGTCTTTTTTATGGTGGTACAGCTTTTATCTTGCTATTACCATGTGCTGTAGTCATTCTTATTGGTAGCTTTTATCTATGAACATAACTCGTTATTTTTATTTATCCGTTATCAATGTTTGAACCTTTTATTGTTTTATGTAAAGCACTTTGGTATGCCCAAGGCTTTTAAATGTGCTCTATAAATAAAGATTGTTGTTGTTGTTGTTGTTGTTGTTGTTGTTAAACTACGATAACTACCTTTCAATCATGACTCCACTATCTGACATGTCTTCTGATGATGAGGAACTTAACCAGGCTATACTAGCAAGCCTGCAGAGCGAAAGGTTAGTTTCAAATACAAATGTTTTACAGTAGCCAATTAAACACACCATATTTGTTGCAATCCAATACTGTAACCAGTGTTGTGAAGGAGTGTAATCCATCCTCAGATATTTATAAGCATATATGATATTTATATTTGCTGTTAACAAAACAGTTTTTGAATAATGTCTACAGAGTCAAATGATAATGCTATAATGCTGGCAAATTTTATTTTATTTGAAATAGGCAGCGAATTTTTAACAGAGCCTATCTGACAATGAAATGAAATTTACTTATTGTTATTTACTTATTGTGCATTGAAACTATTTTTCTTTGCTCTAGTGCTTTCTAGTTCTCCAAAACATATAAACAATATAAAAAGCCACTGAGCAATATACTCCTTTGTACATTTTGCTTATGATTATGATAATTTCCTTTAGGGATTAATAAAGTATGCTGATTCTGATTTTGACAAAACTTTGTATGTCCTTGTAGCCCTTGTATGTGAATGTTTTTACTGATGTTCTTTTCAATATTTTTTTCTTTTTTTTTCTTTTCTTTTTTTTTTAATCCTACAGGACTTCAAGTTGTTTGGTATCAGCAAAAGATATTTTGGAGGAACTTTCTGCAAAAGTAAACCAACAGAAGAAATGCAAGTTCAACATTAATAGATCAACAGTCCTGGATGGAGCAATTAGAGGTTTTAAACGAGCGACATATGATCCATGCCACACAATTTCTGTCAGGTTTTCTGACGATATGGGAGTACCTGAAGAGGCTGTTGACTTGGGTGGACCAAGAAGAGAATTTCTAAGACTTCTGATCGAAGCTTTGCCCCTGTCTCCAATGTTTGAGGGTGAAGAAGGCAAAATGAACTTGGCGCTTGATAGTGCTGGTATGTATTGATTTTAGGCTGATATCCCTCGAGTAATGCAATAAAAAAATCATTTTTATGAAGTTCTTGTCAAGCGCTTTCATGCATCTATTGACATGTAATGTTTTTCATTATTTCTAGCCATGAGGGAGGACAGGTACTTCATTGCAGGCAGAGCCATTGCAGTAAGCCTTGTACATGGTGGTCCACCAGCAGGCTTTCTGTCCCCAACACTCTTCTCTTGCCTTGTTGATGGCCCAGATTTGGCTAAACCAGTTTTAGAAGATGTTGCCGATAGTGACCTGCGTGAAAAAATTAAAAGGGTAAAACTGATTTGTCAGTTGTTGGATAATGTTTTAGTATTGTGTGCATTTCGTTCTACTCCATGTATTAATTGGGGCCCATTAATTTTTTATTTTTTTATTTGAAGGTTAAAGAGTGTAAATCCTTTGAAGATCTGATAGTAGCAACTGAGCCACTTCAGGAATACTTAGCCAATGCTGGCTGCCTGAGGCCGCTACGGAGGCTGGAAGACAAGGATCTGCTTATACATGACATTATCATGTTCCAAGTAATACACAGAGTCCGTGGTCCATTTGAAAGGTATGTATGTATGTATTTATTGTTGTCCAATAAGTAACTCAAACCCATGCTGATTGCCTTGTATTCTGGGAATTTTGTGCTGACATTTCTTTATGTGTAGGTACACCATGCCTCCAAAGGTGACAGCATCACATGAAAAATGCAGATTTGGGATATACACTTTTGATGATGTGAATAATCTGAAGTAAAAATTATTGTATATATAAATTCATATGTTTTAGATTATACTTCTTGGATCCATTCATTTTTGATGTGATTTGTGATTTTAAAGGTAATTCTGATTATCATTTAGATTTCAGGATGGACTACGGACACTTGAGGTGCTGGACAAAATCCAAGATCACCCAGAGAGTTTTCGCACCCTTCTATGCTGGTCACCTTCAGTGCTTACAGCTGACCTTCTTGACAGCCTCTTTACCATCCGCCTTTCTCCAGCTGGGAGCAATAAAAGGCATGCTGAAGCAGTTGTCATTAGTTTCTGGAGAGACTACCTAACAGATGCAGAAGGTAAATTTAGCGTTTTAAGCATTGTATGTTCAATTTATAATGCGGTGCATCTTTTCATTGAATCAGTTAAAAGTATAAATGCTTGCTGTGTTTTTTGTCTTTAATGCCATTTTTGACAGTATTGCTTTTCCTTTAGATCAAGACGGAACACAGAAGCTGGGGACAATTCTTGCCTTCGCCACTGGAGCCAACACTGTTCCACCAATTGGCTTCTCTCCACAACCGTCCATTGAATTTCTTCACCAAGAGCCTGATGCACAAACCATGTCTAAACTACCCATTGCAAACACGTGCATCAATTGTTTAAAGTTACCACTTCATACCTCTTACAAAGACTTTCAGGAGAATATGGACTTTGCATTAGGTAATACACATGGTTTTGGAATAGCTTAATTCCTGGTCAGGTTAGTATGCTAATCTGAGTTTTGCACTCAGTTAAATTAATGAGTGTCAACCATTAAGTAATTCTAAGAGAGGGGGGGTGTTTTGAATATCATTGCATTTTCTTTCCCAGAAATCAAACAAAAATGTTCAAAATGTTCCACCTAAAACACCAATTAACACACTTGAGACCAAGCTGAATTTACTTTATGTTGCCATATTTCATATTTCACCCACCTATTTTGTGATTGGAGGCTCTGTTTTTGCATTGACCTTTTAACAAATGTTCATTTGCTTCAAGTCTTTTTGCTTGTCAGGGTACCATTCTACAAGTATACAATAGTTATGTATACTAACATAATTCAATAATAATTTTTTCATTGCATTAATTTATGTGCATTGTGATTATTTTTGTTTTCTAGCTTTGTACTTGTTTGTTGCTTTTATTCTCTGGTGTTCTTCAATATTGTTTATCTGACACTTCTATTCTATTTGATCAGTGATCCATGTTTGATGTATTTACTGACTGTATTAATGTTAATGTTATCAGTTTGAGTCATCTTGTTCCAAGACAATACATCTGGTGATTGTGATGACCAAAAACCTCAATAAAATGTGGTTGCACAAATTTATTTTTTCTTTTAACAAGGTGTTTTAAAACAAAACATGGTTGTAAAATCTCAACACACTCACATAATACAACTCATAAATTCTTTAAAATTGTATACAAACCGTCAACATGCATGTAAAGGTTGATAGTAGCATTCTTGAAATTTAAAGCTGTGACTAAACTTCTAATAATACTGAACTAACAACAGTCTTGGCACTGTATTCTTTTTAAGCTGCACAACCACAATTACAGTAAATGAAATTTCTCCAGAGGCCTTGTTGATATTTTAGGATTGTCTCTCAAGAAAATGAACAAGGTTGCAAAATAAATCTATACCGTTATTGCCATCATCTTCAAATGGATCAAAGGTCTGTTGAAGTGTAACCATCATGGTGTCACTGATGGAAATGTTAATTGATGGAACAACGACATTATTGTTTGTCTCCAGCTCTGGCAGTGGTCTGCATTCATCAATACCAAAGTCATTTTCACAAATACCATTCATATTTGGGTTATGTATTCCTGCATTGTTGATAATGCCCCTTTGCCACAGCTGAAGAGGGGTTTGCCCTCCTTGTGTTGAAAGTCCATGGTTATTCCACTGGTTCTGAAATTCTGTGGCAGCTCTTTGAATACGTGGCAAATATATATAATGAAGACAAAATAAATGGACCTCATTAAGTGAATCTAATACACCATGCTCCTCCATAAAATTGAAAAGATTAACAAAATGATATGAGACCACTCGATTTAATTCTGCCCATAATCGCTCAATTCTTTGATTATGCACAGACCTGCCAGTGATAACACTATGCCTGTTCAGTCCTTGCCTGTAAAGCATGAAACGGGCAACACCAGTGTTTTCTAGTCCATGATCACATCTCACTCTGGATGGCATTCCAAAGTTCTGAACACCAACCATGAACAGTGACAAAACACTTGATGCCCTGTTGTTATCTAAACACGCAAGGTAGATGATGGTTCTACTGAAACCATCCACACAGCCATGGAACACCATCCTCCATCTCACAAGTTTGTGGTTTCCATCTATATGCCTATAGAAAATGA